ACCCACACAGGAAGATGTGCATTATGGGCAATGTATTTGGCCTTACAGTCTGGCCCAGAGCAGAGAATGGGAGCATAAGGCCGACCGCTGATACCGGTCAATGCCATTTTAAAATTAACATTCTGGTTTATTGCCAAAATACTTTTATTTTTTTAAAAAATATTTTAGCTACAGTCAACCTTTTCCAATGAAAAATTAGATAAAAATGAGAAATGAATTTGCCAAACCCACAGGCGAGGTGGGAGAGGGGTTGCTGGGGTTTTGGAGGGGTTTTGCTCGGGAGGCTCCAAGCAGCTGTGATGTTCCTAGAGGCCTGCCCTGAAGTAGGAAATGTCTGTGTGATGTTCTACTGTACACCTGTGACGGACCGGGCTGGTCTGGGCACAGCTGAGGGCGTCCACTCAGGGTGAATTGCTCAAATTCAGGGCTCCTTACAGCCCCCAGACTGGTGACCTTTCCAAACAGGCCACAAACCAGTCCCACAGAGCGCTTCAGCTGCCCACCTGAAACCTCACGATCAAAACCCCTCCAACACCCCAGCAATATCTGTGCCCCAGGTGGCCCCGGGCCTCATACACCGGTGCGGGGTCTTAGAACCCAATCCCACCTACCCCGAACAAGTTCTGTCCGGTTCCAAGAAACCAGCCACAGATCTGGTCAATTTACCCTCTGTACCTTACCCACAAATCACGCTGAGCCAGTCCTTCAGAATCTATCCTCTAAAGGTTTATTACCACAAGAAAGAAAAGCATGAGAGTGAGGTTGCTAAAGAATCATACATTACATGCATCGAATCTCCCAGTCCTCGATGCAGGCTCTAGCAGAGATGTTACAGCTGCTGGCTTAAGAGTCATTGTTGCACATCCTAGCATCAGGATGGGTTCACAGGTCTTTCCGGCTCTTCATTCCAGAGGCAGCAGTGCAGGGATTGAAGTGCTGAGCTGAAGACCAAGATGGAGTCCACTACATGGCCTCTTTATACCTCCTTCCTGGTCTCTTCTTGGCTACAGCAGGTCACCTGGCCCATGGCTTATTCCTGTGTTCCCTGCTGGTAGCCCTTAGGTATGGGTCACCACTCAGTCTTCAGGTGTGTCCTTGGCCCATTGAGTGCCATTGTCCCACAGGGCCTCACTGATTAGCATGTCCATAGGCCAGGCACTGCCCACTGCTCAACCACATGCAGAGAAATATTCAGTAACTACACACACAGACATTATACAATCACATGACTATCGTACATAGGATTAGCAGACAGTGAGCTTCTATTCAACACCCCACTTGGCCCCCTTTTATACCATTTTTGGGGCCAACACCCCCACTTATGGGTGCATCAGTAATCTGGCTGCTCCCCTCAAAATCCAGTAACGTGACAACACCATTTCTTTCTGTCAGGCTGTTCGTGAATGATTTTACTTTCTTGGAAGAAAGGAGTCTCTCTCTTTTGGGCTAGTAGCCAGTTGTGCTTCCAGAACCACTTAGCACCTGCTCAACTTCCTACTGTAGCGACTCAAAATGTAGCAGGTAGTTTAGGTGGAATCCTGTCATTTTACATCCTCTTAAACTGTTGGCTAACCACTCCCACTCTATTTTCTGATGCCCAACCACAATGCATCAAAGGGGCAGGGAGGCCAGAGTCTTTCTCCACCTGCCAGCCATGCAGAGGAGGGGAAAAGGAGCTCAGGTGTACCAACCTACCTGCAGGTACAGTAAATAACTTCCCAGGCAGCCCCCGGAGCAACTTAGTTTATGTTCTAATATGAAACCCAAGAAGAAAATGCTGGTCATGGTGCAAGCAGCACTTTCACCCAGATGTTGAGTGAGTACCTTGTATAACATGGGTAACATACGTTATGTTTGTAGCCACTATCTGTCATGGAATAGGAAACTCTGGTTTGATGCCGCATGGTCAAGTCTAAAATTTTACCACGTCACAAGGGGTCCTGGGAATAGGTGTGTTCTGCCTGGGAAAGGCTCCTCTGCTCCAGTTTGGCTGAGTGGAGCCAGTTTTTTTTCAAAAGTGTTACATGTACTCAGATGGATGTTCTGTTCAATCCTTTTCTCAGACACGTTTGTGGTCAGACTGTCAAGGGGGTGAGGTTACAAATGAAAGAAAAGACACTACATATAGGTTGTTATAAAAATGAAATTTTTATTGAGCTCAATTGGCAGTGAATATTTTTAGCCAAGTTAGCAAGATATAGTTTTAGCTCTGAGAAGTTCTCCTGAGAAAGGCGAAAACCCAGAGGGAAAACCCCTCTTTTTAAAGAGGGGAAAAACTCTGGGAAATTCCTTTCTGACCCTCTAAGCAGCGATCGGAAAAAGGCCCAGGAGACCAAAACAGAAAACACGCTAAAGTATTAAATGAAAATACAAATAGAGCTGTTATAAGCAAAATGGGGGAGCAGAATGTTTTGGGTTTTTTTTTTTTAAATATTGACAATACATAAAAACTGGAGTTCAGATCTCAAAGGAGCCTAAGTCCCGTTGACCTAAATGCCTTGCAGGATCTGGGCCTGGGTTACTGAAGTTCTGCAAGCAACAAAGCAGTGGCTAGCCATTTTTACCAAAATGGAAATTAGCCACCTCTGTTTCTATTTATGGCAAGCAATGATGGTACGGCAAACAGTGCTAATGGCAATAAAAGCAAGCTAAGGGGGAACTTACACAATGCTATCTCTGGAAACAAAATCTAGGCCAAGCTAGTAAACATGCACCTTTTTAAAAGATAAAAAGCTAAGTAATAAGATGTCAAGAAGGTTATATATAAAACTCTATCAGAATCATTGGCTTCAGCTTTCTGACTTTCCAGCCTGTCTTCTATTACGTCATTCAATGGATTCCACTCTTGTGTTTAAAAGAGCGTAGAGCTTACACACACCCATTTGCACACACAATCACACACCAAAATGCGCACACATCCCAACACACCATTGCACCATCCACATCTCATACACTCATTTGCACTATCAACACGCTCTATGCACCATCATGCTCACAACTCACCAGGTTATTTTAAGTGTTGTAAAAGATCTGCTCTTGGAATTATTTTGGGGAAGTTCTAGGGCCTGTGACATTCAGAAGGTCAGACTAGACTGTCATAACGGTCCCGTCTGGCCTTGGACTCTATGGATACACCATCACACTGTCCATCCACAAAAGAGCATTTGTGTAAGATTTTTCCATCTTTCTGCCCAACAACACTGGGAAAAGTCCCAGCAGTGTCTCCTCCCTAAGTCTTGCACTTGCATCCCCTTTGTCAAGGTATCCAATTCTAGCAGTTCATCATTGTCTTCCCTTTCTAAAGAATGTGGAAAAGTTTCTGTTGGTTTACTTCTGAATTGCAATTTTCATTTTGATTTAGTTTTCGTACACTCCCATTTCTAGCACTTAAAAAGCAAACGCTTCTAGTGAGGAGAGAAGAGAAAAGAGGTTCTGCAGAGAATGGAGCCTGGGAGGGCTGCCCCAACCTGTCCTACATACCGGACAGCTCTCTTGGCAGAAATGCTTTCTTGTTGACAAAGGGAGCCTCCCTCAGGGAATGGAAGTATTCTGTTGGCAAAAGTGCCAACAAACAACGATCAGGCACGCTGCCTTTTAGCTACATGGCAGTGTTGAGACAGCCTTGCCATTGAAAGCTGTGCAGCATAGACAGAGGTGAAAGTAACTTAACACTTCTTACAGGTACTGTCCTATTGCAACCTGGGTCCCTGGTAGGTCTTTCCATAGCTCCCTGCTGGCTTGTGCCGCAGCTCACTCTGCTCTTGATGGAGCTGCGCGCCAGGGCACACCTGCTTCCTTTCCCCTCTGAATGTAGACATACCCATGGAGTTAAGAAAACATTTGGGACAAAAATCTAAAGAGAACTATTTGGCCTAGTTGCTAGTGAAGCTGACAGCATATCTGCACCTGATCCAGCTCAGCTGACACAGGCACACTATCTGGCTCTGAAACGCTATGAGGGCTGGGTCTCAGAACCCACTCCCCAAATATCCACACTGCTGTGTGTGGCACTGCAAGCTCAAGTCTCTTGAGCTGGGCTCTGTGATTCAGTGCTGTGGGGTTTTTATTGCAGGGGGGCATAACTTCAGAGGCTCCCTCTCTAATGTGTGCACTTTACAGGCAAAAAAAGCAGACCTGTTAAAGGTTGAACTGCACTGTAACGTTCTTAGGGGAGATTCTGTTCCTATATTGTTCAGGGGTGTGAAAAAGATCCACACCCCAAGCGACATAAATTACAGTGATCTAAGCACTATCCACGCTGGCATTGTGTTGGCAGGAGGTACTGTCTGATCAACAGAGCTTCCACCTCTCGTGGAGGTGCAAGAATTGCGCTGATGGCATAGGGCATCTTCACCAGGTGTATCACAGCACAACAGCTGCATCTGTGCTGCTGTGACAATATAGCACTCTGGTGTAGACTTGCCCCTAGCAGAGACCTAGGGTGAAATCCCAAATTAGGTGCGAAACTCCTCTTGACTTTAGTGGAGCCTGGCGTTCACCCTTACTTTCCATCCTTTCTTCCACTGTAGGAGTATGGACTAGACTAGAGCCTTTGTCGAAGATACTGTCGACAAAGCTTCTGTTGACAAAGAGCATTTAAACTACATCCAGTTCTGTTGACAAAGCAAGCCTCTTTGTCAACATGAGAGTGTAGACGCAAAGGACAGTGTAGATGCAATAATGCCTTCTGTCGACAGAACTCTGTCAACAAAAGGCATTATTCCTCGTAGAATGAGGTTTACTGCTGTCGACAACTGCTGAGTTCTGTTGACGATATGTCGACAGAACTCGGTGGTAGTGTAGACTCGGGTACAGTTTTGTCGACAAAACCCTGTAGTCTAGACATACCCTAGGTGACTTCCTTCTAGGGGAAAAAGTGCTCTTGAGGGGCAGGGAGAGACGAGATCGCTTGCCCTCCAAGTGTCTTGGTCTCCTCCTCAATCACTATCTCTTCACACAAAAACACAGGATTGTTTTAATGGGTCCTCTTTTGAGGGTAGCGGTATGTCAAGCACCTGGTTATGAGACTCCAAATCTGTGTTACAAACTCTATCCTGAGTCTAGAATGAGCATTCCAAATGTCAAGCAGATCCTTGTAGCTTTGTTGGGAGGGAGGATTAAAAATTCAGTTTTAAACTGAAAATGTGTTCTACTCTAAGCTCTGATGCCTTTTTACACTGCCTCATGCTCCCACCTGAGAACTACTGACCTGGAGGATAATACCTTTATGTGGAGCTTTCAGCTTCTGGACTCTCATTTAACGGTTCCTACATAGGAAAAACAATGAAGATGTTAAAACTTTTGAAATGTGTTCTGCTGTGTTAGCTATTACCTCAGGCTTCCCTTCAGCCGTGCTCGCTTTCTGGTCAGTACTGCAGCTCTTGCCATCCCAGGACTGAGCTAGAATAAGAATAAATAAAAATGGTCATCGTGATACACATTATGGCCTTTACACGAACACAGAGAGAAACCATGCACTAAAGACACCATAAACAGATACAGGAAGAGTCCTCTGCTCCCATTCCACCACTTTGTGGTGCTTAGTCAGCACCACACTCAGAGAGCTGCCCTGAAGTGCCGGGTGGGGCATCCTCTGAGGTAAAAGAATCTGATGGCAGAGACAGCTCCATACTACCCGCTCCCCCAGCTGCACCTAAGGGAGATAACAGTAAAAAGGGAAAGGACTTGAGCACTTTGATCTGTGGCTGGCAGAGGGGCCCCTAGAGTGTCAGGGCCAGATTGCGGCAATTGGTGTCCCTATGGAGTCCCACCATGTCCCTCACCCTACTTGAGGAAATAGTGGAAGGTGTTTCACACAAGCAACCTGTTGGGCTCATAGGGCAGCCACCACTTCTCCTCTTCTGGAAGGATGTAGTCTCCTTAGCCCCTGCACTCCCCACTCCTTCTGGGGCCTTCTTAGTAGGAGGGAGGATTCAGCCCCAACCATCAGGCATGTACCCTGTGTAAGGCCCTTGCCACCACCATCAGAACTTTGCTAAGCGGCAACAGCCGGGCCCCTTCACAGAGAAACCCTTGGGTTCTGTCAGCAGGGAGCAGTGGATTTCAGTGTTAACGCTCCAGAGCTAAGTGAGGCAGGTAGTGCAGGTCACATGGACACTTGGTGACCAGCTGGCCAGTGTGGGCTAGATTTATGTCTCACCTTGCCCCTAACTGACCGACCCTCTAGCCAAGCTCACAGACCTGTTGTTATAGGCTCTCTGCAGACTCAGGTAGACATCACTCTATCACTAATACTAGGCTCATGTTTTCAAGCTTTTCTTTCCAACCATGAGAGAGCAAAACCTGTTTTTAAAAGACTGTTAAGATTCTGGTGTTACCAGGTATCCTCAGGGTCTGTGACCCTAGGGATGTACCTATTGTGCCTGTGGTGTACAACTTGCACTTCTAGGGCCACCATTCCGACGGGTATAACAAAACAATCCTTATGCTACTCTAAATTCAGCTAGGGACCCAAAATATCCCCCAACATCCTACAGAATCCGGGATGTCAAAATTGGGAGTTGGAAGCATTTTTCCTACATATTCCCCTCAGTTTTTGCAAGCAGAGCTGAGCCACTGCTGCAGACCTGGCCCTAATATTACATAGTATGTTGTAATAGGAGCACATTCCTGAGACATGCAAGGAAGAAGGAGTTTCAAAAGATTGTCCTCATGTTATCTGAACAGCTCTGCTCTCCAGTGAGTCTTGAGAACAATTAAGGTTGTGCAAAAACTCAATGAAACACATTTTACAGAACTGCTCTATGGACCAGCTTCTTTTTGAATGACTAACAGTTCAGCAGTGTTGTTCTCTACTACAGTATGTGCCATTTTCTTTGCACCTTTCTCTATGTATTTCTATAAAAACTAGCCAATTAGCCCATCATAAGACGGGATTTTCAGGTCTCTCCTCCATGTCCGTCTTCTCTCCTGAGCCACCAGTCTCTCTCCTCCTCTTCCTCTTCCTCCTGCCTCTCCCCCTCTCTCTCTCAGCTCTCCTCCCCCTCCTGCCTCTCACTCGGGGGACCGCGGGGCCCAAATGGCCTTTTGGGCTCTGCACTCCTCGTGCTGCATGCGGAGTGTGGAGCCCAAACGGTTGCTTGCGCTGCTTGTTCCCACGCGGTGGCCTGGCTAAACGGCGCAGAAGTCAGCCGAGCCCCATGGCGGGAGGCGAAGGAGGGCAGGGTGGTGACATTCATGGCCAGGGGGGCGGGACGCTCGGCTGAGTTCTGCGCTGCTTAGACGGGCCACCGTGGGGGAGCAAGCCACCGTTTGGGCCCACACTCCCCATTCAACACACGCTGCCCGCATTTCCTCAACAGCACCGCCCAGAGGGAACAGCCAGCATTTCCTCAACAGCACCGCCCAGAGGGAACAGCCAGCATTTCCTCGTTCCACGAGATGTACAGCTGGCCGGCTTTATGTAAATGAAGCCCGGGAAATTCAAATCCCGGGCTTCATTTGCAACTCTGTATGACTACATTACCCCCCCCCCCCAGTTCGAACTAGGGGGGTAGTGTAGACATACCCTCACAGACATTGGGCTACTATATATCTGATGCTGGTGGGATTTGAACAGGAGTCTTTATGATAAGACAGAATTGTTCCAGCAACTTAGAGAGCTCCGGGTCTGAGCCATACTAGTAATCATCCCTCCGTGTGGCAGTTTACTATGTTCTGATTTGAAAGAGCTGGGCAATATATTGCGAAGGCTGGGACTAGGATGTGCCCTGTGACTGTAGAGTACAGGAGCAGAGAATTCAGAGCAGGAGGCTAATAATTTGAGATTACTATCTGTTAACTTGATAATCTTCAAGTCTGAAATTGTATTTAGCTCAAGCCAAGTTTCAGTTAATATCTCTCCAATAGGAAGTAAACTCAAACTACACATTTCTAATCTAGGTGCAGGGAACTTGCAATTTATCAGCTGCCTTGGCTATCCTTTCACATTGAATCAGTTGCAAATGCTGACACTAGATGCATTATTTCTAAATTCAATAACTTGTTTGCTGCTTGCTTTGGATTATATTTCTCTTGCTGTTTTTAGAATTAGTTTTATCTTTTAAGAGTTTGTATTTTTTAAAAATACTGACAACCTGCAATTCATAGCTCTGGATTCCCTTAGCTTAATTTTGTCACGAACAATGTCCCAGAAAGGCCCTGGCAGAGTTTTGTGACAAATGAAATTAATCTCTTTTCAATTATGCAATGAGATTTTTGCTGATTACTCTTCTGTGCTGCACCTTTGATTTCTTTACACCTTACCTCCAGGCCTGGATGACAAAGGAACATCCTCCAAGAGCTAGTGCCTGACCATTCTCAAACAGCAGAGGGTGTCATCGAGCTTGCTGAGATCAACTCCGGGAAGCAAACGCGTACAGCCAGAACTAGCACTGGTGTTTCTTTGAGCTGCAGCTCCTTCCAAGACTAAGAGTGCAAGTGGCTATTGCTCAGTTGCAGGGGAAATCCAGTATTGTCATTCAACCTCTTCAATCTAGCGTGTAGTCACTACTGAGCTGATGTCCAGACATGGTGGTAAAACAATGGTTGGTAACCTGCAGTCCGTGGACGGCACCTGCCAGCAGCTCCCACCATTCCTGGCCAATAGGAGCCGCAGGAAGCAACAGACAGCAAGTCTCACTGTATTAGAGACACTGTAGTCCTGGATGCAGTGTTATCCGGATCAGATGCAACATTCGGGAAACTCCTGAGCAGCAGGTCATGAAAAACCCAATGGCATTACTTGCGAAAACAGCAGGCTGTAGCCAGGATGGTGGGATCAGCTCTATTACAGTATTATGTATGCTTCCACATAGTCTCAGCTTTTCAGTTACATGTGAAATAGTTAAGCATGTAACTCTGTATTTGCATAAGACATGATACAATGTTTGGAAGTTCTGGAAGCTCAGAGAAGTTCTGGATGAATTGAGGGAACTCTTGGATCTTGTTACACTAGCGAGACCCAATGCGGATATTTTAAAAGTCCAATTAAAAAGTTTTCTGAGGTACTTCATCCTTACTGTGGTGGCAGGCTCGTCTTCTTGAGGATTGTGTTCTTGGCTTTTTTTCCTGCAGTGATCTGGAAAGTGTACATTGATTAAGCCTGCTTAGTGCTATATATGCGTATCAAAACCAGTGCAAGAAAAAACATGTTACAGAGAGTAAGTCACCAGGGGCACCTATGAGGCATAGCTCAGTGGCATGAGAGTGAAACTAGAGCCCTTCAGAAAGTGGTTCTGGGATCCAAATTCCAGGAGACGATTGTCTTGCCTCAGTATTAGAGAAAACAGGAAGACTTGCAAAATGTTTTTGTAAAGCAGGTGCAGCTGAAATTATTAGGGGTTTTTTTTCATTTGGTATAATCAAGCCATGCCTGCCTCCATTTCCTTTATTATTATTTCCCTTTCCTAATCAAATGAAATCTCTATGTTTTGAAGTTAAGGATTTTTATATGCTCATACACCACGTATCAGAAACTCTGACAATAAAATCATTTTGAATTGGAAGGGATCTGGCCCCTTCCAGCACAACAGTCCCTTTTCCCCTTCATTATTGCCTCTCTTTGCCCATCACCTGGTTCTTCCTTTAATTCCTTTCTTGCCAGCCCAGCTCACACAAATTGATAGTAGATGGGCTATATATTTCATCTACTTGCCCTCTAATTTACTTTATAAAGTTTCCCTTTTTCTTCATAACTCCTGGAGAAATAAGGAATATATAAAATGGGTGGTGCAATATGATGTAACAGTGATTTTTTTTAAAAAGGTTTAAAAACACATGAAATGAGGGGTTGATACTTACACCACATGAAGAGTGCTAGAAGAATAAGAAGAGAAATTGCAGCCACAATAAGGATGGCATCTGTGCTGCCAAAAACTGGTGAGCAGCCTTTTCCTGGAGGTCAAAAGAAGAAAGGAAGAAAATACCACGTCACTAATTTATTTGCTTGCGGGAGGGGGAGGCTTCTGTACTTGGAATGCTGGGTTCCATGATGGCTGGGGATTGGGGGCTGTAGAAACCTTGCAGCTGGGGAAGAGACAATTCTCTTGTCACAGCACTGCATGTGGCTGGCATAAACAGTCCTATTCAAGCCACTTTGCAAGCCTGGCTATAGAAGGGGACAGAGCAGGAAATGGGAGAGGATGTGCTGTGCCCACGGGTCCCTGTAGCATTGAATGCTATGGAGATTCTCAGGTAATGTGGGCTGCAGGGGACTTGAAATCTCTATTTCACAACAAATATAAAATTCAACTGCACAGAAAACTAGTAGTGAGTCTGTATATTAACTAAGAGTTCCTTTAAAAAAAATTCCTTGCAGGAAAGCATGCATATACTTTTTAATGAGAGTAGGATGAGGGCTTACTTTGGAGATGCTGGATGTTCTCTGTAAGGAAGATGGCAAACAACACAACTAGAATCATTCCTCCTGGAGCTGCAATATCCAGAAGGACCCGGTACACTTGGAAAGAGAAAAGAAGTAAGAAAATGCTGCATTATCTGATTGATGCACATGAAGGTCGAAGAAGATTGTTTTTTCTGTTGGCTTCTTCCTGTACAATTGCAAAAACCTTTGGAACCTGATTCTTGAGGTGACCCATGGCAAGTGTCAGCTCATGAGACTCCCGTGAAGCAAATAGCAGCAGAAGTCAACATGTCTGCAATGGTTTGAGGCTTGTAACATGTCATGTGCGGATACACCAGCTATACATACAGTTTCTTTGTTTTACGTTTTACAGCAAAGCAAGTACGGGCAAACATTGTCAAATCTCAGCCAGCAAGGAAGAAAAGTGCAAAGTGCATTTCGTCTGTTGCCTGCTGCCAAATACCAACAGTTGCTCAGGAGATGTGATGCCATCCTGCCGGTTGTGGAGTTTTGCCCTAGCTGCTGGGTCAGTATTGTGTGTGGCTGCTTGAAAGATGTGCAAGGTGAGGGGTGAAACATTTCCTTGTACCTTCTCCCACTAGCCATGCTTTCACACAGCCAAAACTTTGCCCTCAACATAGTGGTGCTACTTTCTTCATGGGAGTCTCATGAGCTGACACTCGCCATGGGTCACCTCAAGAATCGTGTCTATACTGTGAGCGAAGGTGTGATTCCCAGCTCGAGGTGACAGACCTGCACTAACTCTCATCACGCTGCTGTGCTAAAAGTAGCCGTGCAGCCATAGGAGAAGTCGCCCTGAGCATATACCTAGCATCTCTGATGGGCACATAGAAATCTACTAGCTTCAACAAGAGTTAAGCTCATAGGAGGCCAATTGGAACAGGAAGAACCAGGTTTCAGGCTGCTAATTGGGGATGTCTGGTTAATGCAGTTGGTGTCAAGAGTGATAACAAAGCTCAGCATTTCAAGAAATGTATCACATAGCCAACAATAATTGCTATAATACATTACAGCTACACCACTCACCCTGTGAATCCTAGACACATAGGGCTAGAAGAGGTCCTCTTGTCCATCTCCCCACAGTGAGGCAGGAGTAATTACACAGATGTTTGTCTAACCTTTTCTTAAATGTCACAAATATATGTAAAATCCACATATTACTCACCTGTTTTCTCTTTAAATTTCTCAAGGTGTTGGGGACAAGTCGCCAGAACGGCGCTTATGAGAAGTGTTACCATGATCACCCACGTGAGGAAGACCATACACAACGTAAGGGCTGTGGAGAGACCTGTGCACAAACAAGGAATGGAACTAGAACTGCTGTAGCTACAGTTAATGCTCTGCTCCTGCCAATCACTGAGCATGGGCACAACCCTGCAATCAAAAAGGGCCCCGTGGGGATCTGCCAGGGTGGAGTAAGTAGCAGTATTGGGTCTTGCTTAGAGACACAATTAATTGATTAATCCTGCTTCACTGTAATTCAGTAACTACCGAGCCAAACCTGCTCCGCTGGAGTTCATAGAATCCTAGGGCTGGAGGAGGTCATCGAGTCCAGCCCCCTGCCCAAAGCAGGACCAATCCCAACTAAATCAACTTAGCCAGAACTTTGTCAAGCTGGGACTTAAAAACCTCTAGGGATGGAGATTCCACTACCCCCTCCCTAGGGAACCCATCCCAGTGCTTCCCCACCCTCCTAGGGAAATAGCTTTTCATAATGTCCAACCTAGACCTCCCGCACTGTAACTTGAGACCATTGATCCTCGTTCTGCCATCCGTCATTACTGAGACCAGCCTTTCTCCAGCCTCTTTGTAATCTCCCTTCAGGAAGTTGAAGGCTGCTCTCAAATCCCCCCTCACTCTTCTGTTCTGCAGACTAAATAAACCCAAATCCCTCAGTCTTTCCTCATAGATAAAGTGCTTCAGACCCCTAATCATTTTGGTGGCCCTCCACTCAACCGTCTCTAACGCAACCACATCCTTTCTGCTGTGGGGGGGGACCCAAAATTCGACGCAATATTTCAGATGTGGCCTCACCAGAGCTGAATAAAGGGGAATAATCACGTCTCTAGATCTGCTGGCAATGCTCTTTCTAATGCACTCTAATATGCCATTAGTCTTCTTGGCTACAAGGGCACCCTGTTGACTCATATCCAGCTTCTCATCCACTGTAATCCCCAGGTTGTGTTCTGCTGAACTGCTACTTAGACAGTTGATCCCCAGCCTGTAACCAGCTTTGGATTCTTCTGTCCCAAGTGCAGGACTCTGCACTTCTCCTTATTGAACCTCATCAGATTTCTTTTGGCCCAATCTTCTAATTTGTCCAGGTTACTCTGGACCCTACCCTTGCCCTGCAACATATCTACCTCTCCCCCTAGCTTAGTGTCATCCACAAACTTGTTGAGGGTGCAATCCATCCCCTCAGCCAGGTCATTAATGAAGATGTTGAATAAAACCAACCCCAGAACCGATCCTTGGGGCACTCTGCTTGAAAGTGACCGCCAGACAGACATTGAGCCATTGATCAATACCCGTTGGGTCTGACAATCTACAAACTTTCTATCCACCTTACAGTTCTTTTATCCAAACATATTTCCATAACTAAGGATGGGAATACATATCAGTAATGAACGTCCTATCCTCAGGCATTCTAGAACCAAGAGATTCCTATTTAAGGTTAGATGTGAAATATCCAAACACAATATTTTGTGGAAATGTAATTACCCAAACAATGTTAAATCCACCCTGCAGTAATGCAACAAGGAGGGAAAGTTATAAAAAACCCCACTAATCTATCTTTAAAAACCAGTTTAAGCTAATAAGGGACTAACAGAATCAAAGTTCCTTGTTCCCAATTGTATGGCATGGCCATAGGGCAGGTTGGGGGAATGGAGCATGCCAAATAGGTTGCGGGCCCCAATTTGCAAATAGATTTAAGCACATATGTAATTTTAAATACAAATTTAAGTCCTACTCATTTTAATGGGCTGAGAACACATGTATGAAGTTGTGTTTAAGTGCTATCCACAATACTGGTACTGTCCTGTGTTGAGGTCAGGACAGCAACATGGGAGGGAGAGGAACCAACTTTCTTTCTTGATAAAATTGGAGACCTGGGCACACATCTATGGGACACAGTTCTCCACCCAGGGTGGATTTATTTACCAGTGGCTGTTTGACTCCATTTTAGGACATAGGAGTGGGTCTATGAGTGCTGTGATTGTACCCTCATGTAATCCCATATCTATTATGGACACACTTGGAAAAGTTAGGCTCTGTGGCTGCAGTCAGATGAAGGAGGAGCCAGGGATGGAAAAGTGGTTCCCAACCTTTGGGAGTAAGTGCTTCTTGGAGCTTTATTTTTTATGGAGCTTTAATTTAAAATCTCCCAAGTGTCCTCCTGCCTTCTTTCTGGCCCCTCATCCCTTATTCTGATTTTTATGATTCTGTAGCCAACATAACTCATCCGACAGTGTGACATCCTGCCTATCAGTTTTCCAGGTCTGATATTAATAAGGTGCTTTTGATTTTTGTATCTAGAGCTGAAGCTTTGATTATGAGTATTTTCCACCTTTCTTCCACAGTCTGTTCCCTTTGCCTCATTCACTGCTTCACGGTCAAACACGTGCACCCTTTAATTCAAGAACCAAGGGGGCCTACCTTCTTCCCACACCCAGAGGAGAGCAGCAGCAAACATCAGGATGGATGAAACACACACGAGCCCATGGATGACCACGACAAGCCATCTCCATAATTCTCCCTCTACGAAAGCAACAGATACATTAGTGAGTGACACCTCCTCTGTGCTCTAGGTTTGATACTAAGAGGATTTGGGGAAGATCGGAATGGAAGGAAAGGAAAAGGCTGATCAGTATTTAAGGTTAATAAAAACAACAAGGGCTGGTGGATGGGGCACTGGCATGGGAATTATAATAATAAAGGCCTCATCAGAAGATCTCAAGCAGTGTACAATGGAGATCCATATCATCATTGTAAGAAAGTAGCACAAGTTCTGTTGCCCTCAATAGGAGGAGCCTCCTCATGGATTTCAGATACTAGCATTAGGAACCTTGGCCTTGGAATATTGAAGCTTTGGAATTTCTCAGAGAAATCTAATCAGATGTGAACATGAAAAGTGAAGTACAGGGAAGATAACTGAGTGTTCTGCTACAGGCATGTAGAGTCCTATGAGATACTGCCAGAAGACCACATACCTTTTTGCTATCAACTCTACTCAGTTAACTACGTTTTTTTACAGAGGAGAAATTAAGCACATGTTGGGTTTATCTGCAATACACACACTGTCCAAGATTGAAAAGAAAGGAGCTGACATACTTACTGATTTTTTTATTTTTTGATTGACAGCACAAGATAGTGAAGCCCAAGCCAGATCCAGCAGCCAATGATATTGCAATAGCAAGAGCAATAGTAGAAATTTTCAGTGTATTCTTTAGGGCTGGCACGATACCTATAATATGGACAACACAAATCCAAACAATCACTGGAAAGCCAACAAGAGAAGGACAAAAGTGACGGAGCAGGGACTGAAAGCTGTTCCATTTTTCTTGCTTCTTCCTTTCGGCTTGAAGGACAGCATAAGTACAATTTCCTCTTCTCTGCACTTCAGTGTCCTAAGGACTAAAGTGGGGATAAACCTTCTAGCTGAGATCTGAGATGCAATGAAAAGGAAGCCCTTTGGGGCTGCATTCTAGTTCTGTGACTGAGGTGCTCAGTCACTACATGAATATAAATGAATAATAATTAATGAAGACATTGTTAAACTCTGACACCTGGCAGGGGGAGCAAAACTTTCAAAGCTATGTTGAGATCTTCCTGTAGAATTTCCTTTGAAGAGCCCCTAAGTGTTACCTGTGGTCAGTGAGCATTCAGAATGAGAAATGAACAGGAATTAACTGGATCTATTGTGAGGGAAGATGCTTGATGCGAGTGAGGACTCTGATGTGCTGTGAATGTGATGATGAATTGCCAAACCTGATGCTTAGAGGTAGAGTTCTGCGCAGATACTGAAAGGTGCATCTGCATCCACTAGGCTCAACTGCCTATTGGATCTGCAATCTGTGATCCAGATTGTACTTGTATCGACAGAAGAAATCAGGGGAGGGGGAGCACAGAAGAGCAAGGAGGGGACCGGGTGATGCAGGGAAGAGCCCGGCAGCAGCGGGGAGTGTTTGTGTGTAAGGGGGTTGTCACATTTTCTGTTTTATTATTAGTCTTTTCTGAGCGCTGCCGTTTCTGTTCCTAGATATGGAATGAGAGTGTGGGGGGAGGACCAGGGCTACCTGTTGGGTTTCCATACTTGTGGAGACTGCTGTCCTTTTTAACAGTGTGCGGGGAGCTTTGCAAATCAGTGTTCACCAGGCGGGGTTGGGGAGACAGGCAGTCAGCACTTGGCCCTCCCTACAAGGAGATTTAGGGCGTAGTTTCACTTTTTCTCTTTTGCCAGGTGGGGAGGGGAAAAGAAGAAAGCTCTGCATGAGCATCTGCTTCACTATCTGCTCCACTAGCCATGGATAAAAAGTGGATATGCAGAGCTCTTCCTAGAGGAGCCATGTGTTACTCATGTCTCCAAGCTTTTCCTAGGTTTCCTATTGTGCTTGAAAGATTTGTTTTTAAATTACTATGTCACTTGTCTGCCTAAATCACCTTGATGTTGTAGTTTTTCAGAGCCAAAATCTGCCCCTACTACTCATTGTCGTGCCTTACTACACAAGTAGCCTATGCTCAACATGGACAACCCTGGGCTGCTAAAATTAGGCACCTAAATCCATATTATGGCAACTAAAGAAATCCAAAGGATATTTTACAGATGCTGAGCATCTGCTGCTCCCTTGACAACCTAGCAGTGGTTGCTCCAATCCACTGGCAAGCAGTTACTTGAATTGTGTGTTTAGGCATGGGTTTAGATTAACAAAGTTTAGTTGCCTAAACCCCAGAAGTCCTAGTTTTAGGCTCTCCAGGCTCTCCTATGATCCAAAGTATTCCCACTGAACCTGTAGACACTTCAACTCACTTGGCACATAATTTTCAGGTTAAAAGTGCCCTGGACACCTACATTACTGCTGCAGGGAACACACACAATTGTCTGCTTCTAGTCATTGAAGTGCCTGTCTCCCACCTCAGTTCCAGTGTAATTCACAAACCAGAGAAGAGGGGTGTTCACCCACCCAATTCACCTATGGGCCTTAATCATGTAGGTGTGCTCTGAGGCTGAGTTTGGGTCCCATCAAAATATGACTCAGGTGCCACTCAGCTCAAACTTTTAGCCCAGGGGTTAGTGCATTCATGTGGGACATGGGAGACCTAGATTCAATTACCTCCTCCCACAGCAAGATGATTGGAAGAGCAGTCATACCTGTTCTAACCACTCAGCTACTGGATACAATGGCACTGCTAAGCGTCAGGTTTGGCACTAACCGTAGTAAGGGGTTTACAATCAAAAGTGCTAATGCAACACTCACCCTCAATGGTCAAATTCACTGAGGTTTCCCGCCAGCTGATCTCATTGCTGGCATTGCAAGAAAAGGATCCACAATCTGACTTCTGAGCTTCTGATATGTACAAAACAGTGAAGTCTTCAGAGAAATAGTAACATTTGTTCCTGGGGAGGGGCTTCCCATCTTTCTTCCAATCAATAGCTCGTACTCTACCAGCTGGCACCTTGCAGGATAATTCAACGGAAGAACCTATCACAGTAGAATTTATCTGTAGATGAGCTTCGTGTACAGGCTCTGGGGAGGAGAATGAGATTATGTACATTTAAAAGTCCTGGTTGAAATGTACAAGCTTGAATACCTAAAGTCAGGCACTTACATCCATATTCAGGCACTGAAATCAATCAATTAGATCTACTTGTCTATATGAAGGGTATATTCTTAAAACTTGTGAAATCCTCTAACATGCAGTGAAGTAGGCTATTAGTCACTTAATATATATCTTGTCACTCATGTCTAAACTTCATATCTTAGGTTATCCTCAGTGTAAGAGTTCAGAAATACTGAGTTTTGAGGGAGGTTTTTTTAAACATCACTGTCATTCAACCTTTCTAAGTTTCATTTGTCTCTTTAAGCCTTTCCTCTAACCCAACTACACATTTCTTAATCTAGAATCATATAGTCCTTATAGAATTATAACTTAGTTAGTCAGCTCTTAGGGTATGTCTACACTACCCTCCTAGTTCGAACTAGGAGGGGAATGTATGCATACCGCACTTGCAAATGAAGCCCGGGCTAATCTGATAGCTTTCTTTGATAAGATAACGAGCCTTGTGGATAAGGGAGAAGCGGTGGATGTCATATACCTGGACTTTAGTAAGGCATTTGATACGGGCTCGCATGATATTCTTATTGATAAACTAGGCAAATATAACTTAGATAGGGCCACGATAAGGGGGGTGCATAATTGGCTGGACAACCGTAGTCAGAGAGTTGTTGTTAACGGTGCTAAATCCTGCTGGAAAGGGATAACAAGTGGAGTTCCTCAAGGGTCTGTTTTGGGACCCGTACTATTCAATATCTTCATCATTCATTTGCAAGTGCGGTATGCCTACATTACCCTCCTAGTTCGAACTAGGAGGGGAATGTATGCATACCGCACTTGCAAATGAAGCCCGGGCTAATCTGATAGCTTTCTTTGATAAGATAACGAGCCTTGTGGATAAGGGAGAAGCGGTGGATGTCATATACCTGGACTTTAGTAAGGCATTTGATACGGGCTCGCATGATATTCTTATTGATAAACTAGGCAAATATAACTTAGATAGGGCCACGATAAGGGGGGTGCATAATTGGCTGGACAACCGTAGTCAGAGAGTTGTTGTTAACGGTGCTAAATCCTGCTGGAAAGGGATAACAAGTGGAGTTCCTCAAGGGTCTGTTTTGGGACCCGTACTATTCAATATCTTCATCATTCATTTGCAAGTGCGGTATGCCTACATTACCCTCCTAGTTCGAACTAGGAGGGGAATGTATGCATACCGCACTTGCAAATGAAGCCCGGGCTAATCTGATAGCTTTCTTTGATAAGATAACGAGCCTTGTGGATAAGGGAGAAGCGGTGGATGTCATATACCTGGACTTTAGTAAGGCATTTGATACGGGCTCGCATGATATTCTTATTGATAAACTAGGCAAATATAACTTAGATAGGGCCACGATAAGGGGGGTGCATAATTGGCTGGACAACCGTAGTCAGAGAGTTGTTGTTAACGGTGCTAAATCCTGCTGGAAAGGGATAACAAGTGGAGTTCCTCAAGGGTCTGTTTTGGGACCCGTACTATTCAATATCTTCATCATTCATTTGCAAGTGCGGTATGCCTACATTACCCTCCTAGTTCGAACTAGGAGGGGAATGTATGCATACCGCACTTGCAAATGAAGCCCGGGCTAATCTGATAGCTTTCTTTGATAAGATAACGAGCCTTGTGGATAAGGGAGAAGCGGTGGATGTCATATACCTGGACTTTAGTAAGGCATTTGATACGGGCTCGCATGATATTCTTATTGATAAACTAGGCAAATATAACTTAGATAGGGCCACGATAAGGGGGGTGCATAATTGGCTGGACAACCGTAGTCAGAGAGTTGTTGTTAACGGTGCTAAATCCTGCTGGAAAGGGATAACAAGTGGAGTTCCTCAAGGGTCTGTTTTGGGACCCGTACTATTCAATATCTTCATCATTCATTTGCAAGTGCGGTATGCCTACATTACCCTCCTAGTTCGAACTAGGAGGGGAATGTATGCATACCGCACTTGCAAATGAAGCCCGGGCTAATCTGATAGCTTTCTTTGATAAGATAACGAGCCTTGTGGATAAGGGAGAAGCGGTGGATGTCATATACCTGGACTTTAGTAAGGCATTTGATACGGGCTCGCATGATATTCTTATTGATAAACTAGGCAAATATAACTTAGATAGGGCCACGATAAGGGGGGTGCATAATTGGCTGGACAACCGTAGTCAGAGAGTTGTTGTTAACGGTGCTAAATCCTGCTGGAAAGGGATAACAAGTGGAGTTCCTCAAGGGTCTGTTTTGGGACCCGTACTATTCAATATCTTCATCATTCATTTGCAAGTGCGGTATGCCTACATTACCCTCCTAGTTCGAACTAGGAGGGTAGTGTAGACATACCCTTAGAGATCAGTGTGGGGCGTTCCCTGCAATATATTTCAGTATTTTCTCCAGTCCAGTTGTATAGTTCACCAGGGATGGAATTGTTAGAGACCTATGGGGATACAAAATTTGTGTCTGCATCTATGTCTGCAAAAATAAGCCATAGATATCTATATCCACATTGGTGGATGCAGATACCCATGTATTCCCATGAATTTGCAGGGCTCTAGGGATTATCACCACTTTCGACTTTCTCTGTGTCATATGCAAGGATAAAGGCCCTTCTGACTACATGCTGCAGAACTTTAATGTGCACATCAGTGAAAGCAAAATGGTATTTCTTGCTCAGGTCTAGGTGCACACATGTAGTGTGGCTAGAGTCAGTGTCACTGTCCTTCAGCTACAGTATGTTGGGTTGTGCTGTCAAAAGTAAAGGGTCAAGTCAGGAGGGCTTTGATTGGAATGCTCCATCAAAACAATGGTAGAGCTACGAGTGTTGACATTTTTCCTGCAATGTCAGAATTGAATGCATAGAGTGAACAGATCTCATCATAAAAGTTTTTCCCTCTGATATCAACCTTATTTTTTATTTATTTAGAAATATCATCCCCTTATCACAAGTAATGGATTCTTGTCCTACAGGGGTGTAAAAGATTTTGGTACAAATGATTTGAAGGGCGTTTTATGTGGTCATTGGGTTGTGCAGCTGCTTCCTTGAAATGTACCCAATCTCCATCACATTGGTGCAATCTATTCAGTATAATTTTTTGGTACTGCCAGATGTTTGAACTCACTGCTTTATAAATATTTCTGCTCATTCACTTACCTAAGACTAGCAATTTCGTTTCTCTGGCTTCAATTTTGTTCAAATTGATGGTCGCTCTGTAGGTCCCGCTGTCAGTCTCTTGCACATTTTTCAACAAAAGGGAGCCGGTGGATTCATTAATAATGACTCTGCCTTGATAGGGTGTATAGATCACAGGTTTCTTTCCACTTTTGTAGTAATCCACAATATTTCTGGTCTCAAAGCTTTTTACGTATTCCCACAGCAAATGATCTATGACTGTGTGTTTGCTGGTGGGCAATGCATTCAGCAGCACTGAAGAGCCCACAGCAACGGTTCTAGATTCTTGGGCTTCTTCTGTTTCTGGAGCCCAGTGGAGAACCAGCAGCAGTGCTAGAGAGAAAGGCGGAAACGAGCTAGTCAGTCTGACACAGGACTTATCCCAGGGCTATGAAACAACGTACATTTGGGGATGTTGGATCACAACTGGGCCTCATCTACGCTGGCAGCATGTTGGGTGCCTCAGTGGAAAGCAGGCTGCTTTCATGCTGTGGTGCATTGCATCATGTGGAAGTGAAAGGTGCTGGCAGCAGCGTTAAATTAACTCTTCTGGGGGTCCAATGCTATTAGACTTTGTGGAGTCCCCTAGGCTCTGGGGTAGGACCAAAATTAAGGATTCAGAGAGCAGGAGGGGGCTGTGAGTTGAGGCAGGAGGATGGGTGCAAGAGGGCTGACAGCTCCAGCTGGAGTGTGGCCTCTGGGATGGGGCTGGGAATGAGGCTTTTAGGTGTGGGGGGGTGGGAGGTCTACACTGGGGAGCAGGGCTCTGGAGTGCAGAAGAGAGCTCAGGACAGGAAGCTGAGGTGGCAGTGCAGAATCTGAGATAGGGTGCGAGAAGGGACTCAAGGTTGGAATGTGGGGTCTAAGAGGGAGAAAGGGTGGTGGAATGGGCTCAGAGTTAGGGTTCTAAGCTGGAGTTCAGGGTCTGGGAGGGATTTAGGGTGTGGTGGGTGACTCCGGGCTGGGGCAGGGGATTGGGGAGAGTATGACTTTTACCTGGGGCAGCTCCTGGTTGTTGGGGAGGAAATAAGGGTATGTCTACACTACCCTCCTAGTTCGAACTAGCGGGGTAGTGTAACGTTAGGCAACCTAGTCCGAACTACCTAGTTCGAGCCCCGTGTAGCGCGGCTACACGGGGCTCGAACTAGGTAGTTCGGACTAGGGTTCCTATTCCGAACTACCTAGTTCGAGCCCCGTGTAGCGCGGCTACACGGGGCTCGAACTAGGTAGTTCGGACTAGGGTTCCTATTCCGAACTACCTAGTTCGAGCCCCGTGTAGCGCGGCTACACGGGGCTCGAACTAGGTAGTTCGGACTAGGGTTCCTATTCCGAACTACCTAGTTCGAGCCCCGTGTAGCGCGGCTACACGGGGCTCGAACTAGGTAGTTCGGACTAGGTTGCCTAACGTTACACTACCCCGCTAGTTCGAACTAGGAGGGTAGTGTAGACATACCCTTTGTGACTCCACAGGGCCTGCCCTACAGTCACCTCCAGGCTTCACCTCCTCACATCTCCCATTGGCTGTGATTCCTGGCCAATGAGAATTGCAGGGGCGGAGCCTCAAGGCAAGAGCATCGTGAGGCCAGAACTTCCCGGCACTCACAGCAATGCAGCGCCAATGGGGGTGGTGAGGAATAGCAGTGTGTGGAGCTGCCTCTTCCCCTATCAGGAAGGGCTAGCCTGGTACATAGGCTGCATCCACTGAAGTCCCTTTTTTAATCCTGTCCATGTGGGGCAAAGGGGAGACACCAGAAAAGGTTCCTGCAGCTCCCCACAGTGGGTTAAAGGCTCTGGTGGTGAGCACCTCGGGATACCCCACAGCTAAAAGTGGCCACAATAGATGGAGGAGAAGCAGCGTGGATATGCAAACAGACATGTAGGCTACATACCCACAGTGCCTAATCATCTCCACAGTGCTTTATAGCCATACTAGGAGTGTCCGCAGTGAATGTACTTCACTTCCTGCTGTCAGCGTAGACAGTATCCTTAGAGAGGCTTGAACCAGAATCCCAATTCAGATGTCCCTGGACACTGGGGATGTGGGCCGGGGAGAAAGTTGAAATCTGAACCTGCCCTGAAAGTGCATTGCCTAAGCCCATCTCCTGTTGCATCTGGCACTCTTGTTTCACAGCTTATATGGCCAAAAGGGATCACTGCAGTCATCCGGGCTGAGCTAGTGCATAGCACACAGCCTAGGACTTCCCTGCTGTAATTTCTGGTTGAACCAGTGCATGTATGTTAGAAACACCCCGGCTTGATTTCAAAATTGAGATTTGCCATGACTAGCACCCAGCCCTCGGTAAGTTATGCCCATTGTGAAGCAGAAGATTCAGCCCCATACAGAGCTGAAGCTGAACAATTCAGATTGGGTGTGTGGTATAAATGTTAACCATTTGGTAATTAACGATGGATTCTCGTGAGTGGTCATTTTAAACTCGTCTTTGGACGATTTAACCATCTGGTAATTAATGGTGGATTCTCGTGAGTGGTCATTTTAAACTCGTCTTTGGACGATCTTCTAAGTGTGCTCTGGGAACGCCTGGGGAGCAGTTCTCTGACCCGGGCTGTTGAGAAGCTCAGGCTGGATGGTCACAAAGGTCTGTTCTGGCTGTGGAACCTACCGATGCCCATGTCAGCTTTAATCTAGCTACACGGGTAGAGAAGACATGGTGGTACGGGCTAGCAGCCTGAGTTCAGGCTACGATATGCACTCAGCTTTGTAGTATATGCTAAAGCCTGTGCCACACTGCTATTGTTGGAAAGCCCCATGACCAAACTGCCCTGGGGCTATTTTTGCTGGGTAGGCCATGGGAAGCAAAACAAAAGTTGGATCTAGATTAGACAAGGGGTCAGACAGGTCGTGGCCGCTCCAGAATACAGAGGTTGCAGAAATGACTTACAACATTCCATCTTCCCCCACTGAATGGCCACCTCTGCTTCCTGCCTTGAGTGCAGGAATGGGGTGGCTGACAGTCTGAACCCCAGTGCCACTTCTCAGTGAAGCACATTGGGGTACTTTCAATATAAGAGCTGTATGAACCTGACAAAAGAGATCAGTGATGCATGTTTTAGTGTCCAACTAATGTGACTCCTTGCCCTGTTTCGGTATGGTAGGGAATTGATACGTACTCAGGCACCAGCTCATCTTCTGTAACTCAGCCTCCTGAGGAGTCTGCACTGGCAACAGGTAACGCTTTGGCGCAATGCCCGCAGGACCCTGCAGAAGCATACAGTAAAAATCAGCAATGTGCAGTAATGACAGGGTGCATACAATTACCACAAGTGACCTGCAGTTCCATACCAATCCCTCCCATAAGAGAAGGAAAAGGCTGCACAGTTCTCATCAGACCTGTCCAGAGTTAAGGTGCTTCTTGTTCTAGGGCTGTCCCAAGGAGAGGCTCTGGTAGAAGCTGTATTCAGTGCTCCCCAGGTCGAGGAGTACCTTAATGCAACACAAGACACTGGAGGCTGTGCAGGATGTAGGAGGAGGAAAAGAATTGTGGAGCTCATGGAGATATAGGGACCTCCTGGAAAAGTTTGTTTGGTAGCAGCAATAGCAAGTAATTGTCCCCCAAGGTTAAGGTGACCAGACAGAAAGTGTGAAAAACTGAGACAGGGTTGAGGATAATAAATGCTTATAAAAGAAAAAGACTCAGATTGAGACTGTCCCGATAAAATCAGGACATCTGGTCACCTGATAAATGATCTGGAGAAAGGGGTAAGCAGTGAGGTAGTAAAGTTTGCAGAGGATACAAAACTGTTTAGGATAGTCAAGACAGAAGCAGACTGTGAGGGCCTCCAAAAAGATCTCTTATTGGGCAACTCAGTGATTGGGCAACAAAATGGCAAATGAAATGTAATGTGGATAAGTGTAAAGTAATGCACATCAGGAAAAATAACCCCAACTATAGGTACAGTATGATGGGGGCTAATTTGGCTATGACAAATCAGGAAAGAGATCTTGGAGTTACCGTGGACAGTTCTCTGAAAACTTCCACACGGTGTGCAGCGGCGGGTAAAAAGGCAAATAGGATGCTAGGAATTATAAAGAAAGGGATAGAAAATAAGACACAGAATATCTTACTGCCCCTGTATAAACTATGGTACGCTCACATCTTGAATACTGTGTACAGATGTGGTCTCCTCACCTCAAAAAAGATATTTTGGCCTTGGAAAGGGTTCAGAAAAGGGCAACTAAAATGATTAGGGGTTTGGAATGGGTCCCCTATGAGGAGAGGTTAAAGCAACTGGGACTTTTCAGTTTAGAAAAGAGGAGACTGAGGGGGGATATGATAGAGGTCTATAAAATCATGAGTGGTGTGGAGAGGGCCGATAAAGAAAAGGTATTTATTAGTTCCCATAATAGAAGACCTAGAGGACACCAAATGAAGTTTAATAGGTAGCAGGTTTAAAACTAATAAAAGAAAGTTCTTCTTCACACAGCGTGTAGTCAACCTGTGGAACTCCTTGCCAGAAGAGGCTGTGAAGGCTAGGACTATAACAGAGTTTAAAGAGCAGCTAGATAATTTCATGGAGGTTAGGTCCATAAAAGGCTATGAGCAAGGGGATAGAATTGGTGTCCCTGGCCTCTGTTTGTCAGATGCTGGAGAAGGATGGCAGGAGACAAATTGCTTGATCATTGTCTTCGGTCCACCCTCTCTGGGACACCTGATGCTGGCCACTGTCAGCAGACAGGATACTGGGCTAGATGGACCTTTTGTCTGACCCAGTACGGCCGTTCTTATGTTCTTATGTTCACCTCATCCAGGGTTATCAGTGGTCTGAGAACTGGATTAGAATCCAACTAAAACTGACCCACCCTCCCCCTCGCTGAGTTATGTCAATGAGACAGATGAAATTGAGGGATAATTTCCCAGCCTAACTCAGAAGCGTTGTGTGAATCAGTAATGTTGATAAAATCTCCCACATCTATTATGCCATCCCCTTTCCTCTCCAGAGCTTCCTGTGTTTGGAGAAACACAAGAATTGCTCTCTCCTGCCACCCAGAAAGCAGAAGTGACACCAAAAAGGGGTGAAGAGTTGCGTGGCTTTGGTCTTGCTCCCCAGTCCACCTGTCTGGGAGGCAGGGTGGATGCACAGAGGGAAGAGTCCTGCACTGTCCTACGGGATGGGGGCAGAGTGTGCGTGCGTTCCTCCAGCATACAGAGTTTGTGTCCCAAAGCAGCATGACTCCATACCTTTCCTGTACCGGTACGGATGGTCCAGTTTCATAGTCCTAGACTCTGGCCCTACAAAAGCACTAAGAACTAATAGAAATGTATATCCCAATACCTACCCCAACAGGAGACCTTTACATCCCCCGCCCACGTCTGAAATTCGATGTTAAGTGTTTTATTTAGGGGCCCACTACAGTCAAAGGAAACACTCCCATTCATGAACTTTAAATCAGATCCTTAGTCAATAGATGATTGTTTCCCACATTTCCTGAAGGGGAATTTCAACTTGAAACAGGACTTAACGTTCCAACAGCTTCATTTAGAAACTGCATTGATCTGTGCAACAAAATGTTATTACCACAATAATACTAACGCAGAAAGATATACTTGTCTGGCAGGTGCAGGCTAACCTAGACACACCCTTTTGCTTATATTCCTTGCACCTGCTTTTGAATCCTTTGTGACCTTGAACTTCAGGCTTTAATTTTTTCAGTAATCATCTGTGATTATCTGAAGTCTAAATGTGAAGCAATATAAACCAACTGCTGCTAGAATTTCTCCTCAGGGATTTATTTTGTTAATTCATCATCCTTATCATGGCCCCCTTTCAGACAGCATACTACTCTGATTGATCTCCGGTGTGGTCTTTAAGCTGGTCTGGTTAGCTAGTCAGTTTCCATCCATCACTGGCAATCTAATCATGCCATTGAAACTTTCTTTTCTAGGAGGTGGCTGTTTTCTGACACCCCCCACCCCTTTATTTCTATAGCCATCCCCTTCTCCTTTTGTCCCTGCCTTTATTATCAGTAAGTTTTCCTGGGATACACCTGCTGGTGAACTTTTTTCTTCACCTGTGGGGCCTGTATAAGAAAGGGAAAGGACTTGCTAGCATCTACTGGCAATTAAATGATCTCATACATTACAGTAAACACCAAGGCAAAAATGTCTATTTGCTGACAGTAGTAACTTAGCATGTTATGCATAAAACCTCCTAACTTTGAGCCTGTTCCAAAGCCCCCTGAAGTCAATGAAGAGTCCCACTGATGTCAAAGGAATTTGAAACATGCCCCTCCAGAGAGACTGTTTTAGAAAGGTTACAGGGGCTGACTAGTCTGGCCGTGCATGGAGCAGGAAACAGATGGAGAGATAAGCACGACCCTAGAACAGTCTCTGTATGGCAGCCACTAAAGGTACATCTCGCCATGAGCAGCAGTGCATCTCAGGTGATGTCTACACTCCAAAGCTTTTGCGGAAAAATAACAGTTTTTCTGCAAAAACTCGTGGAGCATCCATACCTCAAGCATGTTCTTGCACAAAAAAATTGAAAGAGCAGCGGGGTTTTGCGCAATAGGTATTCCTCTTTCTATGAGGAACAACTTCTTTTTCTGCAGGAGCTCTTGTGAAAAAAGGTGTGTGTGGATGGGGAACATGGAGGGTTTGCGCAAAAGGAGGCAATCCAAAAAAGCATAGGTGTCCTGGTGGCCATTCTGTAAATTGCAATCAGAGCTTTCTTGCACAACAGTGTCCAAGCAGTCTGGATACTCTCTTGCACAAAAGCACATTGCTTTTCCGATGTGCTTTTGCAGTGTGGATGCGCTCTTGTGCAATACGTTTTTGTGGAAGATCTGCAATGTAGACATAGCCTCAGAGCACAGGAAGACAGGAGAGAGCTTGGTGGACACGGTGGCTCAGGCAGGATCCCTGGCTCTCACACCTTTGGAGGAGACTGGGCTCAAGTCCAAGCTGCTGTGAGCTTTGCAGACGTACCCTGACTGAGCTGCATGGCCCGGATAAACCAGTCCCATGAAATTTGCTGTTAGTTTAATTTTAGAAAACAAATTCAGCCTGAATGGCTGAGTATCTTTGCTCCTGGCAGAAAGGTTCTTCTTGGAGGCTATCCGTTCCAGCTCCCCATATCTAGTGTCTGTCACACTATTAGCTGCCTCCCTTGGACTGCCTCCCTTCTGCCTTCCTGTATTTCCTCCATATGCATGTGTTTGCAGCTCACAAGCTCTGGCTCAGCGGATGTTTACCTTTCTCATGCCGTTACCGTTGAGAGGATGTGCTTATCATTGATGATTTAATAGCTTGGAAGCTTTTTCCTGGACATTTTCCATTTAACTCTTTGAGTACCGATAATTGTACTAATTGAACCAATGCTGGCATTGGCTCTGGGCTGCAACAAGTCTGAAGCCCAAGCTCGCCCCCCGCACAGGGCAGAAGACCTGTAGACCTGCTTCCCATGGGAACCTACCATCTCCCCAAATTTGCTTAACTCTGCCCTCTTGAAATTCATGATCTTAATTCTGCTGTTTTCTCTCGGGGCATTCTTTAGAATCAAGAGCCTGCATTTTCTCAAGCTGCCTTTCATTTTCAAATTCTCAACTAGCTCCAACTTGTCATAATTGCCTCTCCCCTCGTTGCTTTCTCCACTTTCTAAAATTGAAAAAAACCCAATGCATTTCAAAAACTCGCTGGATAATCTAGTCCCCACAGATGGCTGGGTCGCTAAAGTTCACTACCACAGCCAAGTCCTCTGCTTTAAATTAATTTTGTTAGTTTAAAAAAGCCGCCTCTGCCTCTGGAGGAGAAAAGGCAAGATATGAGAGGGGAGGATGAGTGGGAACATATTCCAAACATTCTGTTTGATTCATATTTTTAAAGACTTTTTGAAACATTTTGTGATTATTTTTTTAATAAAATAAAACCACTTTTGTTTCTTTGGAAAGTCTGTCACTGAAAACACAGCCTCCCCCCCCAGCTCTGCTCCAGCCTAGTGTATTTCTTTCTCATCTTCCCCAGCTCAGAGTCTGCTCAGAGGTCAGACTTAAAACACAGCCCAAAATTAGTGAAATGCTCCTGGTCTTACATCTGAGTGGTGCAGACTCCGCTTCTGCTTCTGCTTAGAACAAAGTGATCTCGGACTACAGTTTAAATAATCTTTCCCCGATAGTGAGGCTCAATAGATTTGTGTGCATTGCACATACTTTGATAATATCTTCAGAAGGTCAGTCAAGGTTTATCGCTAAGGTATTTATTTTGTACTATTTACGAAGCCAAATAATCTAGAAAGGCAGAAAATGAAATAGATTTTACAGACAATATAAAACACAGCTTTGCAACCGCATAAACAAGCCAGGAGAATTGTAATTCTAGTAAGAATTGTATGTTGCCAAAGAAAAGCAAAGAGAGAGTTCTACTTACCGACTCGTTGCCTGTGGGAGACTGAATGTGGGTCTGCTCTGGAATGCTTGAGTCGGCCTGATTGGTTAATTTGAAATTCATTGCCGCCACTGAAAGCAGCTTCCCCAATCAGAATTTAAGGAGATGATATGCTTGCAGTCAGTGTGTAGCAGGAAGTGAAACCAGTTTCCTGCTTGAGTAAGAATGTAAATATATTTCACTTGTGACAGGCTCAAGCAGGCAAGTAGGAAGTGTAACCCGCCTATTGTTAAGCAAGCGAATAAATGTAACAAACAACTGTAACTGCAGAGTCAGCAGGTTTGCATAGTGCAGTTTACCTTATTTAGAGATAAACCTGACTTCCAAGGATATTAGAAGCAAAATAAGGTAACCAATCATGTTAAGGCATATTAACCAGGAAGGATGTTAACCCTATAAGACCCCTTGCTTACCCGATGCTGGGGGTTCGGCTTTGCTTTGAGCACTGAGCTCCTTAGCCGAACCTTGCTTGCAAGCAATAAAATTGAGTTGGACCCAGCCTAAAAGTGTGACTCTCTTCTGTGGGCAAATTAGACTAGCCTCCAGGGGACGAATCTTGCAATTTATGCAACAAGTGCACACTACAACTCATCTGCACTCTTTGGGAGAGTTAATACACTGACACTGTGGGACCTTTTAAGCAAAGTACCGTATTTTCCGGCGTATAGGGCGACTGGGCGTATAAGACGACCCCCTATCTTTTTAATTAAAAGATAGGGTTTCATCTTATACCCCAGCGCCCTTCCGCCTCCTTTGCTCCCGGTGTCCCTGGTCTGCTGGAGATGGTCCCCAGCAGACCAGAGGCACCGGGAGCAAAGCCGCCAGGAGCGCCTGGGGTGCCCCCCCGCCGGCTTCCCCCGAGGCTTTCAAAGCCGCGGAGGGGCTCCGGCGGCGGG